GAAGGAAGGAAGGAAGGAAGGAAGGAAGGGAGGGAGGGAGGGAGGGAGGTCCCATCTTCCCCATCACACACACACACACACACACACAGACACACACACATACACATAAAATAATCCCCCATAATCTCCTCGAGTTGCACCTAAAACACAGTTTCTTGCAAGTGACCTTTTCCAGAAAGGCTGTTTCTATGGCAACGGCATTGTTCACTTCAGTTAGAAGAAAAATACTGCATGAAAGGAAAAAAACCCTAATTTTGCTGCATTTGATGTCACATTTAATATGGACAACTTGCCAATGATAACTAAATCTCCCAATACTGATGTTTTTCAGAAACATTTTGGATGGAAAACCAATGGGCCAGCACAGAAAGCATTGATCTCCACCGAAATGCACATAAGAGTAACTAAGTTGTGTTTTACAGAGACTATTATTATTGCTACACAACTGACCTCTTGCATAAGACAGCCCATAAATAACTCAAGCAGTAATTACTACGATAAGTTGATAACTTCTGATTCAGCTATTGCAGATCTCTGAGGAAAGAGTCAGAGAATGTATAAATTTTCCAATATAACATACTAACTATAACAACCAAAGGCCATCCAAAATAGTTCTCCAGTTTCTAGTCTTGTGTTGAAAAACTGTTCTCATTCAGTTTCAGTATGCAGCCCTCCTGGCTCCCTATGCTTCAGTGAACCCTCACGGGAGACCTATGGAATTTTTCTGGAAGGGGAAGTGTGGACAGCTACAAGGACTTGAGAAGATTGAACAATGATTGTAACAGTTCCCTCTACCATTTCCAGGAAGAACATAAGCTCAAAAACATCTCCAGAGAAATCCAAAAGAAAGTCTTAAGCATCCTGAAAATAAGGTAGGAAAGGGAAACTTCTTTAATAGGGAAGAAATTAGGGAATTAGAGATAGATTTCAGTACTTCTAGTCCTCCAGGAATCTGATGTTTCTCTTCTGTCAGTTCTACATCTATGCCTGGAAGCATTTTTTTCTAAATAGGAGCAACGTTCTTTTGCATTAGTGCCCATTTGCTCATATTTATTTATTTATCTATTGTATTTATATAGCTGCCCATCTCACACAAAGCGGTGACAAATTCGAAAGATAGATAGATAGATAGATAGATAGATAGATAGATAGATAGATAGATAGATAGATAGATAGATAAAGTGACTCTGTGTTCATGCTTTACAGAGGATTAATAATCAAAATAGAAATAGACTAGGGGAGGCCCCAAAGTCTCAGATGTTACCAATATTCTGCAGAATTTTCTGTCCAAGCTCAATCTCTCTGCCAAAACATTCCTGTGTCTTCAGCCATTGTTTTGACTCTTTTGGGTTTTTTCCCCCCTCCCTTTTGCTGTCTGAATTATACTGGCACTTTCCTCTTTGGAAGCTCTTTGACTTTCACCTGTTCTTGTCCCCTGTTCTATCCTTGTTCCTTTGCCCTCTTTTCTGCTTTATTTCCATCCCCCCATTCCTCCATCTGTGGCTGGGATTAAAGTGTTTTAAACAAAATAAACCATATTAACTTTCCTCCAAAAGTTGAGTCAGAAGTTGGGAAATGAGGAAAAGTGACATTCTTGAACAATCATCAAGAGGTATTTGTTAGGGGATACTGGTGGTGACTGAGAGAAGCAACCCAGTTTTGTGCAATCACCCACACGGTTAAAGCCAAACACTGCTTTGGATCATCACAGACCCATCAAAGTCAGATGCTTATCTCTATGAATGTTTAAGGAACAGACAAGAGCAGGGCCAATTCTACTGCTAGACAAAGTGAAGCAGTAACTTTTAGGCCGTGAGATAGCAACAAGAGGTTGGAGGAGAGATGTGTGCGTTGTGTGACAGATCTTACACATTCTAAGCTAACCTATAGAAGTGACAGAGGATCCTTACTCATCAGCAATATTGAAGAAAGATTCAACCACCAGAATAGAAGAGTTCCTGTATCTTTCTTCCCATTCCACCTCTTCAGCTCTAATATAATATTTTGGCATGTAGCTAAGAATCAGAAATGGAAAATAAGAGATCTTTTAGGACAATAACCTACCTTGCCAGTATGCTTCTT